ATCCTGTTTTGTTATACATATAGGTACATTATATTTTATTCATTTATTTATTTATTTTATTTATTTTTTTTTTAATGTTCATTTTACGTAACTTAGTATTAAGACATTGCTTGAAACCCTTAATTTCATGAATAATGTTATTATTACGAAAGATCTTTCACAGCTCTGCCCTGTTTTGCGGCTCCGCCTTGTTCTGCGACTCTGCCATGTTCTGCGACTCTGCCGTGTTCTGCGACTCTGCCGTGTTCTGCAACTCTGCCGTGTTCTGCGACTCTGCCGCGTTTTGCGGCGCTGCCGTGTTTTGTGGCGCTGCCGTGTTTCGCGGCTCTGCCGTGTTTCGCGGCTCTGCCGTGTTCCACGGCCCTGCCGTGTTCCACGGCTCCGCCGTGGAGTGTTCTCCTCAACAGATGCTAGGGATAGGGAAGGTTTGAGCCGTGCAGGCAGTTTAAGTTAGGTAGGATTTTCAATGAGTTGGTAGAGAGCCAATTAATTAAAGTGATGAATTAAAGTGATTAATTAAAATAGTAAAAGTGACTTAAGTGAATGATTAAAGTGATCAATTAAAGAAAATTAAGTGATTAATTAAATTGATTAACAACTATAACTCAAAACTCGGTCGTGGGGCCACATTGGACTAGTCTTCAGAGGCTCCCGCAAATTTGAAAAGAAAAAAAAAAGAAAAAAAAATAGCTACTGGACTTATTGCCTGGTCTGTAATTTGCTAGGCATTTTAAGACTGAATATATGCTCCTGCTGCGTCCTGCATAGCTTCGTCTTACGTCTAGGTCTAACGGTCTAGTCTGTTTTTTAAGATGTCCATACTTGCAGTGTCAACGATGCTATCTGGGGGGCAGTTCCACTGTACTTCCACATGTCGGTGACTCGAAGCGAGAAGAAATGTTGTTGCATCACTTGCATGGATGTGTTCCAATGCCGTTTTTTTAGTTTATAGCCGTGGGCGGTGGCCCCTGGTGTTGGTTCTTGTTTTAAATTCTAGTAATCCTTCTGGGACCTTGTGGCTTGTATAAGCTATGAGTATACTTGTATGCTCCAATGAGGTCCCCATGCTGCCAAGCACACACAGACGTCAATAACTGAGGCTTGGAAGCTTTATAATCTTTAATCTTTTGTCTTTCCTCATAGGACTTGCCTTTCAAGCCCAGAACCCTTGGTTAAGTTGGTTTCATGAATCATGCCAAATGCCATTGACCTTATTACAAATTTGGTTTTCCTGCAAAGTATCTTAGTTCAAGAACTTCAACGTCTTCAAGTAACTGTGATATTGCAAAATATTCCCAGTTTGGCTGTGCCATCACTGCCATGTGAGGCAGTGATGTCACTGATGACCTACGCAGGCTACGCGTGACGTGACGTGTCACTCATGGCTCTGCTCTCTGCTGCGTTGCGACTTGCGTGGCTTTATCATGTTTCACGTCTCTAATGGGTCTCACGACTCTGCCATGTTTCACAGCTCTGCCATGTTGCAAGGCTCTGCCTTGTCGCACAGCTCTGCCATGTTGCATGGATCTGCCTTGTCTTGTTCTCTTCAACAGTTTTGTCATGACTCATGAGTGATGTCGTCCATTGGCAACTTCCTGTCTTGGGGCAGGCCAGCAGGGGGCTACATTTCTGTGTCTTCAAAAAGCTCCCATTAAATAACAACTACCTAGAAGAAGAAGACTAAGAGCTGATGCCTGGTGGCTGGTGTTCTGGTTCCTAGAGATGTGGCTAATGCTGGCTTTGCCAATTGCCAAAAAATGCCAGCTTTTCCAAGAAAAGGTTATTATGCCACCATAATGCTGGCAGGAAAAAACTTGCTCAAAGGATGTGCATTACTAAGTTAATTTTATCAATAAAGCCTATTAAATGATGTGACCTGATACTCTAATAGGCTGATGACTTGGCTCAGCTTATGGTAGACTGGTGCCAACTGTCCAACATAGGGGGGAAAACCCTGGTAACAAATTTGTGGTAGCTACAGCCTACATGAATTGGAGATTACCAGTACAACATTTTGAATCTGTTACACAACCTGAAAATTTAAAAACACATCCTAGACTATGACATACCTATACAGATTGACAACCATAGGCAGGTAAGTAGCATCACATGGTGACATGGGTTTTGGATTTTTGGTAGACAGAGGAACAGAGGGAAGAAATCCTGTTAAATGAAAAACCAGTAAGTATCAGCTGGATTTCCAGAAGACAAGGTACCTAGTTATATCACTTCCTGCCAACTCTGCAGTCATACATAGGCACTGTCCTCCCAGGCACACAGCTAGTACTCACCAATCTGGTAGGTGGTAGCAGGGATGCCAAGAAGATATCACCTGCAAGATATTGCAGAAGATGCTTCACACAGAGTTCCAGAAACCTCATGATTACCAGGAAACGGCAGGATACTCACTATGCCATGTAGTGAACAAAAAAAAAAAAAAGACACCAGGAATGGCCCAAGGTACGAGAATTAAGTTTCCTAAACTATTACAAAGGCTTGATTTTTTTCAACTTGGTTGTTAGTTGCCAGTAACTGCCACTTGCTGGCCTCCCCGCAAAGGCAGCGGCTCCAGGGGAGGAGGAAGGAGTCTAGGATCCACTCCAAGGATGTTAGAGAAGGATGGGAGTGATGAGATGAATGCCTCATTTGGTCCAGGGTTAGACCAGAAGTCCAGTGGGGTTAGCAAGGTGGGGTGCAATGGGCAGCTGAAGAGGTGATGGGTGGTGTGATCCATCACACAGCACTCAGTGCAGAGAGGGCTACTTGCTGCTCCAATGCAGGCGAGGAGCAAGTTGAGTCATTATGAGTAGTAATAGGAATTGCATGCATGCTGATCTCCTGTCATGACCTTTAAATCAACCTTCCACACCCACACCCAGTGTGGAAGGAACCACACTGGGGCATCATAGGTGATGAGAGATTTGATGAGGGCTTGAAAGTCACAGTGACGGTTTCCTTCTGCTGTCCCCAGCTGGTTTTGGCAAGAGATTTGAGGATGTTGAGGCACAGGTGGGCTCTCTGACATATTGCAGCAATGTGTGGAGAAAAGGTGAAGTGGGGGTCAAAAGTGACCTCATGGATCTTTGGAATTCAACAGAGTGAAAGGTCAGACCCCTTCCAGCTGACTTGAGGGTCTGTTTGTGATTGATGGGTGCGGAGGGGTGTCAGAGGTAAAAAGGGTGGTGTGGGATTTGGGGATAGATGCCACCACAACTCCTTCCAATGAGCCCATGCCACCAAATCAGAAGAGTGGGAGGAGAGGACTGCAGACGCATCAGTGATCTGCATGGCCCCTGCAGCGGCTGTGAAGTCATCCGCATAGGAGGTGATTAAAGGGGCGGACTGGGGGAAGTCTTAACCATAGGAATTGAAGAGGGCGGGCAAGATGACGGAGCCTTGTGGGACTCCAGTGTGGACTGGACATAGGGAAGAGAGGCAGCTGTTGTAGGAACACCTGGTCAACCTGTCTCTGATGTAGGAGATCAGCCAGTGGGTGATATTGGCCTGGAGGGGAGTGGAGGCTATGTGAGAGATGGAGGCATGGTGTTGTGAATGATGAACATCGTTCACTAATATTCCTTATTCAAGTGATGCGATCATTTGTTCTCATAAGCATTTTTTGTTCATTCTGGCGAAATTATTTTATCACGTCTGGCGAAGCTGCGCCAGTGACATGTGAGTCAGACCTACAGCAGTTGGAACTGTCTAGTACTAGGTCAGGTCTGAGCATCTGTGTGTCAGGTAGTTAGTCATGTCCCGCCAGCCCTACAGTGAGGTTCATACCTGAACCCGCTCAGCTCTGTTAACTCTCAGCATTCTGTGCTTAACGCTGAAGTTGTGGCTGTGCCGTGAGGATTTAGTCTTACCTGCTATCTATTGCCTATGTGAATAGATGTAACCTTAACTTCGTGCATTAATGCTGTGCAATAGTAAATCGAATTGAACACATTTGAATGTCTCTTAGAATAGTGATTTTAGTCGGAATTTATGCTTGCCCTTTACCACGTTTTGCTGATTTTAAACAAAGCGATTCAATAAACTATTTTAAGTGTGCTTTGTCGTGATTATATACCACAGCCACTGAACCGGCTTTAACTATGACTGGGAAAGTTGAACGGCATTGTAGGTTAGAATTTGGATGAATGAGCACAGTTGCCTGGAAATTATTCATTTATTGTCCTGGCCTATGAGCGGTGAGGATTCGATCCTGATAGTGAATTACAAGCCTAATGTTCAGATTGAATTGTAATAGCTCTGGCTGGTGACAGTGTAAAATGCCTTGCCGAGTCTATTGCGGAAACCGTGGAGGGAGCGGAAACCGTGCTGGGAGTCCACCAGTAGAAGCACTGCATTGAGGGAGGGGAGGAGCAGATGCTCCAGCAACTGCATAGACGTCACAGGAGGGAAATGGGCCGGTATGAGGAGCTGATGGATGGAGGTTTGCCTGGCTTTGGAATAGCAATGATGGTAGCCAACTTCCAGATGGCAGAGATATTGGCCTTGGCGAAGAACAGATTGAATAGTTGGTTAAGGTACTGGTCACTACTGGATGCCTCATAGACCCAGATGATAGAAATGCAGGATAGTGAGGGAGTCCAGGCCAATGGCAGTGGAGGTACCTGAGCTCGACACTGCCCGGCCTGATTGGGAGTGAACAGGGGAGGTGAGTTGGAGAGAAGATTGTGAAGCTTGATGCCTCTGTAAGTTGACCTGCTGAAGGAGTCACATTGGTAGTGGGGAATCAGCGTGAATTGGTGGCAGAAGGATGAAGCTATGATGTGGTCTGCAGTGGCATGGGAATTATTGAAGGAAATGGGTTGGTTAGGGCTTGTCTGGTTGACTGTAGGAGCGACCAAAATTTTGAAGGGTTTGTCTGCAGATTGGTTGACTGGACCTTCTGGATCTAGGTTGTGTGCGAGTGTGTGGTAATGGCTACTGAGATGTTGTTGTTGATGTCTGGAAGGCTGGGGTGGTTGGGGTACGAGGCACAGGTCCTGTCACGCTCTTGGAGGAGAGGGATGGCTGAGGGTGGAAGGTTGGGAATGAAATCCCTTCTACATCCGTGAGGGATATGTCAACCAGCCGCCGAGGTGAGAATCTTCCTAAAGAGGATCTCTCCCTGGGTGCAAGAAGTGTATATATTTATAGAAACCAACCTGGTTATCTAATCTTTCAGTCTTTGGCACTGGAGTACTAACTGTGAAAGGCTACTTGGCTAGCAAGTATTTGAATATAGTTTTGGTCTGAATGCATGCAAATGATAGAACACTCAACTACTCCTAGCAAGAAAACAAAGCAAGCATTTGAGCCTTAGGCTCAAATAGGTTGAGCTTTATTACCTTAGGCTCAAATAAGTTGAGCTTTATTACCTTAGGCTCAAATAAGTTGAGCTTTATTACCTCAAGCCTCGAATAAGTTGAGCTTTATTACCTTACACTTGAATAAGTCTCCTCTGGAGTTCAGAAAATCATGGGAGTAAAAGCTGAAATTTTGTGGTGTCCAACTGCAAGTGACATCTTCTTGACGTGGGGTTCTGACATTCAGATCTACCAGACAAGAAATGTTGCAGCAAGTGCAGAAACATCCTCATCTCTATGTAAGTATTCTGAGGATACAGGATTTGATGTTGTGCAGCAAAATCACTTTTCATGCAATTGTCTTCTCTGAATTTGTTGATTAATTATAGGTATATACGTACATACCCTACTGCATCCAAATTTATTTGACATGTGTTAGAAATGAACTTGAATCCTGGCTTCTAAATATTTATTTAAAAAGTACAATTATTATGATAATTGCTTCAATAGCAGAGAATTATTTAGCTGTTTTTTTTTCAAAACATGAGTTAATATCCAGAATATTAAGAACTTTAGGAGACATAATTTTCTAGATTTCCTGCTTAATCACATCATACATCTAAAGTATGACCTATATTTATATATATAAAAATATGTCCAATCTCTATGGATTGGAGGATACAGGATTGGACCCCTGCTATCCATCTCATAACTACCGGATTTTCTGAACCTTAAGATTGTTTCGGAATTATTTTCATGGTTCCAAATTTTCGTTTTGTAACGTGTTCACGTGTATCATGTACTTATTTCTGCCAAAATTTCAGTTTTCAATGCTTTGTGTAACTTGAAAATTAATGTTGTCACATTTGAAACGTCATTAATAAATTAAATTACTTCATTGAAACTGCATTTTATCAACCAGCATCATCTGAAGAATATTGTTCAATCTTGAAAATTTTAATCAATGAATTCTCTGGTCATTAACCACTCCTTTCTAAGTAAATACAGTGGGGGGAAATAAATATTCGTACACTTGAAAAATCGTATTTTAATGTATGTAAGTACACAAACTTAACAGGAAAAGTGATTTAAATTATGTATAGAGACGCATAGTATTCAAAAATACTATCAAAAGAAATTAAATCTCAATGCAACAAAAAACAATGCAACATGTCCACTTTTCGGGTGAAAAAAGTATTCGTACAAAACAATAAATCCGCATTATTTTAATTTAATACTTGGTTGAATACCCTTTATTCAGCTCAACAGATACCAGTTTATTTCTATACGTCTCGACCAATGATTTGCAGATGCTGACTGTTATTTTATACCATTCTTCTTGGCACACCACCTTAAGATTCTCAATGTTTGTTGGGGACCTTTTCTTAATTTGAATCTTCAAATACCGCCACAAATTTTCAATCGGATTTAACTCCAGCAACTGGCTTGGCCATTCCATAACGTGTATATTTCTATCAGCGAACCATTTCTTTGTGGATCTTGCAGTATGCAGCATTGAGATTTAATTTCTTTTGATAGTATTTTTGAATACTATGCGTCTCTATACATAATTTAAATCACTTTTCCTGTTAAGTTTGTGTACTTACATACATTAAAATACGATTTTTCAAGTGTACGAATATTTATTTCCCCCCACTGTATATGTGAGCATGTGAAAATTATATTGATGGAGGGGTCGATAAAGTTTATAAGATATAATTCTTCATCTAGAAAGTTTGAATTATGTAATTAGAGTGCCTTGAAATTAGTTTCACTAGATGAAGCAATGTGCTAGTTACTTATCATTTATTTCTATTGCAGTGGGCGGGTTCCAGATCAGCGATTCCACTGTGGCCTCCCTGATATGCACCTCCACAGATTATTCTTACATCAAATGTGTTGCTTGGAGCAATACTGTTGCACCTGATGGTGCCAAGTATGTCTTTTGATTCTTAATTACTTATAGTGCATTTTTATAGGTATTGCATTTACTTTCCTTATTTTCTAATTTATTTAAATTATTGCTTTGTTAAATAATACCTATTACAATTTTTTTGGATGGGCTATTTTATTTTTTTATTTTTTGCAGACTTTAAAAAGGCAAATGGTAGTTCTTAATTATGATTCTTTGATTTTCTGAGCTACTTCAAGATTTGATTTTTTTTTTCAATAAACATTTATAATGATTGTTCTTTCCTTGGGGTGCCAAAGGACCCCAACACTAAAGGAAGGCAGAATATTGCTGAAAGCTGATTTATTGCCATTGAAGATGTCCTTTCATTGTTTTTTAAAATGACACTCCATTGCCCTCGACACTCCTCTGGTGACTTATGATCTGCATGACTAGTACCTTATAAACAGTAATAGCTAATGATCAATGCAATGCTTTATGATCCATGTATAAATTGGATACTGATCTAAACTGATGACAAATATCAATCAAAATGCTGTCAAATGCTGACATAGATTGAATCTGCTAATATAGTACATGGGACCCATTTAAAGGTTTAAAAGGGTTTGGGGAAATTTTCAAATATCAGTGATCCTAAAATGTGCAGCAACCAAAAGGTTGCTGCACATTTTGCAAAAGTTTGCTGCACAGTCATAAGTAGCAGTGCACAAAAGATACATAGGTACTCATTTAATGTAAACCTAAATATCACAATGTTATGATTTTTTCTTTGCTACAAATATACAACACCAGAAAAAAGTTTGCCCAGTTTTTATACTAGTTTATTTTTAACATTAAGGTGAAAATATACTTACGAGATTTCCCACATTCTGCAATTTGGAGGATAGCTTAAATAAATGTGAATTTGATTTGTTAAATCTAAGAGATCAAGCAAAAAGATCAGCTTTCTTGAACTACTTGCTTCACATATTTTGTGACTTATAAGCTATTTTTTGTGTGGAGTTAGTTACCTACATCTGTGCTATTTGGTAATATATTTTGAGCATATTTGTAGCTTGCTTCACATATTTTACAACTTAAACACTTTTTTGTTAGGAGTTAGTTACATCAGTGCTATTTGGTAATATTTATTGATAATATTAGTAGCTTCTCATGATTTACAGGTTACTAGCTGTAGGCCAGGCTAATGGCAAGGTGCACGTCACCAGCCTGGCCACCCTCTTGGGCGACGGTGCACAGCAACACAACAGAGAGTATGGTCAGTTTCTTCTGTATTTTATTATTTTAGTTTATCTATATCCTGCAGTATTTTTGAACTAACTTTATGCTGCAAGCATAAATAATGACTTTGTTTATTTTTGGCTATTATGCCATATATATCCAAATTCAATGCCTATTAGTATATCATTATTAGTATTTATATGTCCAGGAAATTTTGTATGCTAATGTATCTTTAGTTATCCATAGTATAATAATCTTATGTGATGTTCAAATTACAAAATTTACTGGAATGGAATACTTAAGCATGTATCTTATTTCATATCATTAAAATGAATCTTCTTTTGTTGTTCGTTGCTGAAAATGACAGTACCGCGTCATGGTCGGTGCGTGAACTCGCTGTGCTGGTCTGAAGGTTCAGACCCCAACCTCCTGCTTGCTGCACTCGACCGGTCTGGGCGAGACCCCTCCCTGCTGCTCTATGATGTATCCAGGCTACCTTCTACCACCCAACCCTCCCCATCCTCCTCCAGCTCACGACATCAGCAGCAGATACAGCAGAGGTTTTTACTTTAATTATCTCCTCAATGTTAAGATTGTCTTAATAAGAACTGTTCTCGTCATTAGAATTTAATCTAATTTTGGTCCATCAAATCTTAACACTCCTCAATGATAAGATTGCCCTAAATAAGAACTGTTCTCGTCATTAGAATTTAATCTAATTTTATAATATGATGAACGCCGTAATATGATGAACGCCGTAATATGATGAACGCCGTAATATGATGAACTACCGGTACGTAATATGATGAACGCCATAATATGATGAACGCCGTAATATGACGAACGACGTAATATGATGAACGACGTACGGTGACGTGTTGGTTGTGCTGGCAGTGGTGGGTGGCAGCGGCCGTCAGGAGAGTTCTGCAACAACGAGGTGGTGCACAGCGCTGTGTTCTCCAGGCAGACGAGGAACATCATCATAGCGGCCGCCTCCCACAAGTACCTTAAGATCCTCGACATCAGGAGTGAGTACAAGCGCTTCTTGTGTCATTATTTTATTGTTCATGATTAATTGTGGCTCCAATATAATAGTGAAAATTAAATTGCTTCATGTGTCATTATTTTATTGTTCATTATTAATTGTGGCTCAAGTAAATAGTGAAAATTATAGTTACTCTCGCTGTTATTGAAATCTTTATTATTTATGTCATTATTATTTTTTATAATTTTATTTTGGAATTTGGTGCGTGCTGACATCCGGTCACGATCTTTAAATCAGTCATTCATGCTGCATAAAATGCTCTTTAACTAGGGTAAAATAAAAATATATATAACTCAGTATACCCACTGCAGTGAGTGACAGAGAGCGCATTTTCTCGTTGACGAAAACGTGGTCACGGACGGACAGACAGACGGACATGGCAATCACAATAGTGCCTTCTTTCCATAAATGAGAAAATGCGCTAATAATAATAATAAAATGATTGTACAAAAAGAAAGATTAAGGTTTTAAAAATAAATTATTTTTTTCCAGACGGCAGCAACACACTCAGCATCAACACAAAGGCAGTGTACGGGCTGTGTTGTGATCCTCACTCTCACTACCGCATAGCTTCTTACTGCGATAACTTGGTAATATTTAACCTATTATAAATTTAACAATTGCTTTCTTACTGTGATAACTTGGTAATATTTCATCTATTATAAGCTTAACAATTGCTTTCTTACTGTGATAACTTGGTAATATTTCATCTATTATAAGCTAAACAATTGCTTTCTTACTGCGATAACTTGGTAATCTTTCATCTATTATAAGCTAAACAATTGCTTTCTTACTGCGATAACTTGGTAATCTTTCATCTATTATTAAATTAAACAATTGCTTTCATTATCACCTATTCATCACTTAGGAGTTACTGCTCTATGACTCCCTCTAACTCCATTTTTTACTTCAACATTAGAATACAAAGAATTTTCGAAGCAATTTTATAGTGTGTTTATGTAAAGTCTGTCTAATGAATGTTTGGCCAAACTTCTCTGGAATATTTTTTCTTTATAAATAGATGAGGTGCCGATGTCTTGAGAGTATATTCCTAATTTTCCTAATTTAATAAATACAAATTTGAATACCAAGCTTTCTAAATATTTGGAAATACAGTTAGTTGGATATGCCGTTAATAATTTTTCTAGATGGTCTATAGTAGGTGGTTTTAGCAGGCTTATATTTTATTTTCAATTATTGTCATCTTGAATGCTGTTGTTTTTTATCTTGAATGTCTTGTTTTTTAAAGTCATTTAAAACTTTAGCACCAGCCTTGTTTGCAGGCGCACATATGGGACCTGCGACATATTTTTTCTTCATGAATAGATTTTTTTTTTCTTAACCTCATGCCCCATGAGGTTAAGATGTCTTGAAACTATGTTATTAGTTTTCCTAATTTTATAAGTCATGTTTTTTTGAAGTTATTCAATTCAAAACTCTAGCACCAGCCTTGTTTGCAGGCTCACATATGGGACCTGCGACACACCTCGATGCCCTCAGTGACGCTCTCCATGCCCCGCCCCATCATCAAAATACAGTGGTGCCCCACCAGGTCTGTCCACATGCTAATAGTTATCTCTTTTACATGCTAATAGTTATCTCTTTAACATGCTTATAGTTATCTCTTTTACATGCTTATAGTAATCTCTTTTTATTAGCTAGTACCCACCAGGTCTGTACACATGCTTATGGTTATCTATATGAATTACTTACCATTCATAGTTTTCAGTTTAAACTCAATTTGATATCATCATCTTGTAACTTGAGACTCGGTCTGCTGTTGTTTTGGTTAAGTTTTGCTCAGTGAATCAGGTTCCTTTTGAGAAGTTCTCATCATCAACTTAAATTTCTAGTGCTTTATATCTGATATTTCTTTTCTTTTCTGATGTGCTTCATTTCTAATATTTCATTTCATTTCTGATAAATGTAAAAAATGAGTAAAAGATAAGAGTGTGTTGGAGCAGAATTTTCTGGATAAATCTGTAGAACTGCTGAAATAATTTTCTGGAAGATCATTTAAACAATGAAAATTTTGCCGATATTGACAATAAAGGGTTAATCCAATTGTAATATCTACATTAAAGTGGAAAGATGAGCTCATGTATATACGGGATAAGGTTGATGCTTCTGCAACACTATGGAAAACTGAAAAAGTTGGCTGAAGTTCGCTGTAATTGCTTGATCCTATTGTAGAACATTTGCGCCCTACACAAAATGAGGGATTCTAATTTTTAATATGTTTCCATTGTGATTGTTATCGCTGCTTGCCAATTTGAGATATATTTATTTATTGCAAAATTTTATTAAATTAAATTATGAAGCAAGTGATTTTTAGATAAATGTGGGATAAGTTTGCAGTTTAACACTCGATTTTGGATTTCTTTTTTTTTTTTCCTCTCTTAAAAATAGCCTCTGCATTTCATTTCTGGCGAAATAAGTTGAAAAACTGCGGTTTGAGAGGAAAGACTCTGGAAATGATTGGAAAAAGTAGAGAAACCATATCCGTGGCGGTTTGAAGTTTATAGCCATCGGAGCTGAGCTGTACAGTATAGGTAGGTTACAACGATGACAGCCTTACATAGCATTGCCACATAGTAAACCTAAAAGTTTGGAGGAAAGGATCCCAAACGCCTTAACATACTCGAGGTATTTCATTAACACGACGTGGTGTTGCAGGTACGGTTTCCTCGGGTGTCTGTCCCGCGAGTGCTCGTCCGTGCGTCTGTTCGACGTCCAGTTTGCCGGGTGTGATATGCAGGAGGCGTCTGTGGCGATGCGTGTGGCTGCTGATACCTCCCCTGCATACACCTCGACCTTCTCGTGGCATCACCAGCGCCACAATGTCCTTCTTACAGCCGCGTCTACGGGTAAGCTGCCACGGCCGCCCCGTGGCATGAATAGAGCCACAATGTCCTGCTTACAGCCGCGTCTACGGGTAAGCTGCCACGGCCGCCCCGTGGCATGAATAGAGCCACAATGTCCTCACAGCCGCGTCTACGGGTAAGCTGCCACGGGCGCCCCGTGGCATGAATAGAGCCACAATGTCCTGCTTACAGCCGCGTCCACTGGTAAGCCGCAGTACTAGTAGATGCAGCTGTTAGATACGGTACCTGTCGCTCGTGGTTCATTGCTCAGTAATTAAGCCAATTTCCGTGCGTAGAGATCGCTCCACCTTCTAACATGAGTCGACCGGCATCAAAGGGGCCGAGGTTATGGAGTGGAGTGGAGGAGTGTAGGTTAGGGAGGCTATAAAAAAAACTACGCCACGCTAAGTCCAGGCAGCCGATGTCGAGTCTCAAGGATCCAGCGTTGTGTGGAGGTTTGCACTGATCGTACGAGAGGTGCCGCCAGACATGGCAGCGTGGTAGTGTGTGGTCGTGCGAGGTACAGTAGCCTAACCTGAGATGAACGTTTTGCTTGTTCATTTGCTCTGAAATATTTAGAGGAGACGCTGCGTTACTGGCGATTATTGATTGATCCTATTGATTATTGATTGATCCTCACCTAATTGTTAACCCTATACCACCACCCAGCCGTTCACCCCTATACCACCACCGACTCCCTCACCTCTATACCACCACCGACTCCCTCACCCCTATACCACCTCCGACTCCCTCACCCCTATACCACCACCGACTCCCTCACCCCTATACCACCACCGACTCCCTCACCCCTATACCTGTCTCTTATACACATCTAGATGTGTATAAGAGACAGNAATTCATTTCATTCAGATACATTCATTTCATGCAGGTCAGATACATTCATTTCAGTTAGAGGGCTGTGGCTGGATATGGACTGCAGGTCAGATACATTCATTTCATTCAGATACATTCATTTCATTCAGATGAATTCATTTCATTCAGATACATTCATTTCATGCAGGTCAGATACATTCATTTCAGTTAGAGGGCTGTGGCTGGATATGGACTGCAGGTCAGATACATTCATTTCATTCAGATACATTCATTTCATTCAGATGAATTCATTTCATTCAGATACATTCATTTCATGCAGGTCAGATACATTCATTTCAGTTAGAGGGCTGTGGCTGGATATGGACTGCAGGTCAGATACATTCATTTCATTCAGATACATTCATTTCATTCAGATGAATTCATTTCATTCAGATACATTCATTTCATGCAGGTCAGATACATTCATTTCAGTTAGAGGGCTGTGGCTGGATATGGACTGCAGGTCAGATACATTCATTTCATTCAGATACATTCATTTCATTCAGATGAATTCATTTCATTCAGATACATTCATTTCATGCAGGTCAGATACATTCATTTCAGTTAGAGGGCTGTGGCTGGATATGGACTGCAGGTCAGATACATTCATTTCATTCAGATACATTCATTTCATTCAGATGAATTCATTTCATTCAGATACATTCATTTCATGCAGGTCAGATACATTCATTTCAGTTAGAGGGCTGTGGCTGGATATGGACTGCAGGTCAGATACATTATTCATTTCATTTAGATACATTCACATACATTTATCTCCTGCAAAATGTTTTCTCTTAATTGGCCTGATCAACAGTCCTAAGCTTGAATAACTAGAAGTGTCATTTCATTCTACAGAATTTCAACAGTTTCCTATTTCTATAAAATGAAATAGGTTTAGATAGCATTCTTTCATTATTGTTTATTTTGATACTAACTCACAGTTTTTCCGGTACTTATCTCCCCGATTCCGATGATTGCTTTTTCTGCTTTCGTTTACTATTCATTTGATGCATTCCCGCGATTATTCGATTGTACAGTAAGTGTGTATTGTGCCTGTTGATTGTACATTAAGCGTGTATTACGCCGTGTTTATTGTACATTGAGTATGTGTATTGCCGTGTCTATTGTACTCTATGGTTGCAGTGCAAGGAGAATATGGCGCGTAACGGCGCAGTGGCGCAGGCGGTAGGCTGGCTGTCACGGGACGGCGCCGCGTCGCTGGCCAGCGTGTGGGGCTGGATGGCGCGCGCCCACGTCCTGGCCAAGGCTGCGTCATACAGGCTGAGGACAGGCCTGCCTTACAACTACCATGGCCTCTTGTGAGTTGTGCCTCACAGGCCTGCCTTACAACTACCATGGCCTCTTGTGAGTTGTGCCTCACAGGCCTGCCTTACAACTACCATGGCCTCTTGTGAGTTGTGCCTCACAGGCCTGCCTTACAACTACCATGGCCTCTTGTGAGTTGTGCCTCA